TTCCACAAGGTTTGAGGAAAATAAGACGTAGAAGTCTCACACTTTGGAAGCCTGGTTCCCCAAAAGGCGAGCTGCTGTGGGACTGAAGGCCCATCGTCGTCACCACACTATTTTTAGTTCTGGGGTTTGTACGAGAAGAGCTAGGAATAGGCCGCAGTGGTCACTATGCTTTTTCTCTTACCGTGTTGGCAGGTAACAGTGTGTCCATCCCAGGGTCTGGCCCCAGCACCTGGCATTGGTGGACAGAGAAGTCTCGGTTTGGGGGTAGGGGGGCTGCCCTGTGTACTGAGGGATATTTGGCCTCATTCCTGGCCTCCACCCAGTAGATACCAGTAGCATCTCCAAGTGATGATAACCCCAATATCTTCAGACTCTGTCAATATCCATGGGGGTCCAAGTCACCCTGGCTGAGGACCCCTGGCTGACAGCAATGGCAGCGAACGTGGGTTAGGAAATGCTGCGAATCCCCCCAGCGGGCCGCCATGGGCCGAGCAGGGCACACGCCGGCGGCGGCTGTCCCCACCAGGTCTCACATTCCTCCCCGGTGTACGGCATGGAATTTTAAAACAAGGACTTGTCAGGAAACCACACAGCAGCAAGCCCAGAATTCCTGAGCTTACAAACTAACCCATGGAAACGCTGTGGTGGAAATATAATAAAGCCATAAAGCACGCACTTCACAGACACGGACCGTTTGGCCACGGCTCCCCAGCCAGGCCCACGCCGTGACCTAGTCCTCCGTGAGCCCCGTCCCTGCCTCTCCGGTGCGCGGAGAGTGTGGTCAGAGGAATCAGGATGCCAGCGCCTGCCTTTCCATTCAGCGGCCGATTGGGCCTTCGGGCGAGGCTCACGTCTCTGCTCCAGTTTTTCCAATTGAAAAATACACAGACTTTCCAATCTCCGAGGGAAGGCGGGGAGGGGGGTGGGAAGAGATCAACCAAAGACCATGTATGCATATATGCATAACCCATGGACACAGACAATAGGGGGTGAAGGCCTGGCGTGGGGGGCAGGGGCGGGCTAGAAAGGAGGGAAATGGGGGGGGGGAAGGGAACATATATCATACTTTCAACAATAAAGAGGTTGTGTGTTTTTTTAAATGTAAAAAAAAAAATGCAGTTGATAATAACGGACACTCTGACCTGACTGGTTTTTGATCCTCCGTTCACCACAGGGCCTCGGGTCATAATAACCAGTAGGGAGAAAATCACTACAACCACAAGAAACAATTGTGCCTCCAACTTTTGGCCTAAAAAAGAGAACTTGTTTCATCTTTGCCACGGAATGCCGTAATCTGCCTTCCACGCCGTCTCACTGTGCTGGCCTCCTTTGTGCCACATCTGCATGACCAGCGCATTCTGCATGTGAGTAGCGCTCGGCCCCCCCCGCCTTTCCTATCATCCCAGAAGGCACCTACTGAGGGATGGTTCCCTAATCATCTCTCCTGCTTCGTGACATTTTAATACCAGAGATCTACTGAACAGCTCCCTTTGGAGGCCACGAGCCATTGTAAATGGAAGACTCTTCGTGCTCCCCACAAACCCATTTTCACCCCCTGGGGCAACACTGCCCCACCCAGGGCCCCCAGTATAGAGGGATCTACCGTGCAATGTGTGCCCAGAGCCGGGAAAGTCCCCTTCTGCTCGGCGGGGCCTTCAACGGGGGCTTCCGGAGGGACCCAGAACACCAGAAAGCAAACGGGAGAAGCCAGACAGTCCCATTGGACCTCAAGGCTACACACCACCTGAGAGGTCGGCATTCCTGGGGCGGAGCCACCTCCCTCTCCCAGGCCCCCCCAGTCTCTGGGGCCGACAGCACCTCTCGGTGGCCAAGCCCAGTTAGACCTCAACCATGGCCTCCCTAGCCTCATCTTTGAGGGGAGATCCCACCAACGGGCATTTCTTGGGAAGCTTTCAAAGGATTCTGTCAGGTGTTAGGATTATAAAAATAAACAGCACAACTGACTACCTGGGAAGAAGCCATGGACACTCATGGACACGTGTGAGTGGCGAGGGCCGTGCAGCGGCGAGATGCGTGCATGCCCTGCAGAGAGGGACCAGCTCTAGCCAAGCAGCCCAGGGGGTGGATCTCCTGATTTCGTGGCTTTTATGTGAAATCTGGATTTGATGTGAAATCTCCTGGTTTTTAAATGCGGGTTTTAAATTTTAAAACCCTTTGTGGACTTTAAAAAGGAAACACAGCTGTAGGCAACATAAGCCTATCGATCTGTAAGCTATTTGCAAACCAACAGCAGGAAAAATGTCCCCTCGTCCCAGAGGAGAGAGGCCCTGACCCAAGGTGCTTCCCAACATCGCAGAAGGTGCTGAGGGGCAAGGGGAGGGGACGCTCCTACAAAGCAATGAGGTGGGGAATTATGCACGACGTCCCTGCTTCATAGCCTTACTCGTGAAGAAACACTGGGAAGGTGTGCCCTGACTGCTTAAAGGAGTGTCAGTGGCATCCTCCTGTGACCACTGTGAGGCAGACTTCGTGCATTTTAATCCGCTACATATACCAGAAGCTCTAACCATCACTGATTTCACCGGAGCTAACAATTTAATAATGGTGCCTTTTCTGCCTAATGAGACAATATGTAACATCGTCCAACCAATATTATGCTACACATGAATTTTAAAATTCCCAAAATATGTAAGCAATCCCAGCTCCTTAAACTTTTGCTTGGTATAAGGATACAAGTGAATTCCAGTCCTGAGTTGAATGGCTTCCCTTTTGGACAAATACAGACATTGTTTAGTAGTTTGGGGTCTTTCTGAATACAGTCCCTCCCAAGTCAGAGAGGCTGTGCCAATCACATTCTCTAGGCTCCAGAGTTCCAGTTATTTTTCATATCAAGACTCTAATGAATACTTAATGCAAAACTTTGTATTTTGCTGATAAAAAAGATGCAGCATTCAAATCAGTGCAACTCAGAGACAGGCACAATGTAAAAGAAAAGGTGATATATTTGAAGAGTTTCAGAGTAGTTATGGGTTCAAAGTCAATGGCTAAGGTTAAGTCAATGTAGAGAAAATTACCCAATTTGTAAACTCTTTAGCTAAGCTCTGAGTGATGAGAATAACCTCTAATACAATAAAAAATGCTCTCAGTGATATCAGAAGGTAATGTTAATAGCCACAAAGTGTTTAAAACTGAATATGAAAAAATTACAGACAGATTCTTAGCCATTAAGTATTGTTAGCACACTCCAGTTTTGACATACTATCATAAAAGATAATAAAACTCATAAATCAATTGGCTGTCCAATTCTAATATTTACTTTTCTCTAACTGGTTAGTTAAAAGAAAAAAATATCACATTGAATATCCTTCAGCTCCCTAAACATTAGGACCTCATAGAAATGAAAACTTCTGGACAAAAAATGGAGACTGAAATGTATAGGAGCCATCATTCAAATAAAGCAAAGTTCTTAATTATAATGGAGACTAGGTTTTTAGTCTTTTTACCTCAAACTTCTCTAAATTTCCAACCTTAACATAAAAATGGGATTTAAAATGGGATGCTGTCAATGTCTAGAATAAAACAGCTTTTCACTGCTGGATTGAACTAAGATGAACCTGAATGCAGGTTCCTTTAAATTTTTTGTATAAATTTATTTTCCTAAACAAAACAAAATTTTAATTTCTACTAAATCTCAAAATAGAAAAACCCTGCTCTATGTGAGTCAGTGTGTTGATTTAATAGGGAGGTGCTCTGGTGTGTGAATGAGGCCCCAGCCAGGAAAGGTCAAGGGGAGGAAAGGGGGTGGGGTGGGTCCTGAAGCGCAAGCCCAGGGGTTCACCTCGGAGGAATGACCCCCAAGCACCACCCCAGAGCCAGGAGTGAGGACTCAGCCACTTATTAGCCCACCTGTATCACCCTCTGACTGAGTGTGCTGTGGACGGTATGAGGCGGCCTCTAGGCGCTTCTAGCTCTATGAAGTCATTGAGTTTAATCTGTGACTTTGGAAATTGACCAATGAGAACAGGAAAGCATTGACTGAGATGTCAATATTTGGATGAAAAGTGATGTAAGCCAGAAGTCACTTCTGACTTCTCCCTCGGGCATGTAAGGGTGGACCAAGGGGAAAGAAGATAGGAAGCGTCAGGGTAGAGCATCTCACTCCATCCTGTACCACCTCCGCTGTGAGTCTTGATCAAGAAACCATTCTTTCTCTCTCCTCATCTCTTTCATTCTCTACACACACATACCCAGCTACGTGCACTCCTGCCTCAACCTTCCTCTTCTTGCTACACAAAGGGAGACTCAGGGAGACTGTGGAGGGTCCTCTTTGGTGGCAGCTGGGTTGGTGGTATGGGCTGTAGGACAAATCTCATCACCTACCAAAATAATCTGTGGGCAAAACTCTGAGGGGTGTAACCTTGGAACTCTCTCAGAAGCTAACTGATTTTAGAGTTCAGCAAGAGTCAGTAAACTCAATTACTCTTAGAAAGAAATATTTCAATGGTAGCAAAAGTGAAGCAACAAAGCATGCAGCCCAAGTGAAGGTAGATTTCAGAAACAGAGGGAACCAAAGATGGCAAAAATGCATCTTAAAATTCCAAGACTCTCAATAATTCCTTCCCAGGCTTTGGTTGAGTCCAGGTATTTCCTAGCTCATGGGGATATTTCTTTCCCTCAGCCTCATCACACGCTCCTGGAGGAATTTTGACTCAATTCACGGCCACTTCAGTGTTTTCTCTTTAGAAAATGGACTGATGAGAACTGTGAGTTATGTTTTCTGACGGGGAGATGTCATTCCGCACCAACCTCTTGCTTCCCGATCCCACAGGTAACACGCCCTTAGGACAGACAGGGGCTGCCTCTGGCGCTGAGGCTCAGTCACGTTTCTCTGTGTGAGCAGGTGTGTGCATGTGTGCGGACACTGTTCCCACTGAGAGAAGGGGGTCCTTGTCCTAGAGACACAGCCTGAGACCCCCACAGCCGCCAGCACCGCCGGCGCTGCTCAGAGTGGAAGGAGGGCGCTGGAAGGGGGCGCTGACCTGCACTGGCTCGGGCGGCAGCTGGACCACGTGCTGCATGCGCTCGCTGTGGTGGTGCCGCGACTCCTCCTCGTAGATCACGTCCCGCTCGTGCTGGGGGAGGTTCAGGAAGCGGCGGATGGTGCACAGGTTCTCCCAGAGCGTGCGGTTCTCCGGGCTGGGGTCTCCTTCCAGCGGAGCAGCTCGCACAGCCAGCCCTGGGGAGAGAAGGTCACTAGAGGTCACCCGAGGAGCGCAGAGCAGAGGCTGCTGGCTGCAGGCAGCGCCTCCCCCGTGATCACACTCTCCTGCCCACACTGCTCCCACCAACCTGGGGAGGCACGGGGGCAGCCGGCACCTCTACACCCAACCAGTGACCACTGGGCGGGTCACACCAATGCCCGAGAGTCTTCACTCTTGTTCATCATCTTAGCACCTTTCCTATCACAGACATTCTCAGTTCATTCCCAGTTCCTTTGTAAAAGATGCTCAAGCAAGATTAGTTATCCAATCCTCAGAAAAAAGCAATGTGTGTTGGTCTACTACAATTTTTAAAATTAGCCAATTGCCTGCGGACTGAAGGGTCCCCGGTTGGATTCCAGTCAAGGGCACATGCCCAGGTAGTGGGCTCGATCCCCAATAGGGGGCGTGCAGGAGGCAGCCCATCAATGATTCTCTCTCATCATTGATGTTTCTATCTCTCTCATCCTCTCCCTTCCTAAAATTAGCCAACTGGATGGTATCCCACCCTAAGAAAAGAGTGAAGATGAACAAATATGTATTACAAGATGGAAAATTCTAAAGAAAAAAAAGGTCTAAGTGTGAAGAGCACTGAATTCCCTAGGAAGAAAACAGCCTTTCAATCATCAATAATTCCGCCTAACAGAAGCAAGCACCTTAGCTAGAAAGAAAAAAGAAGTGTATATGTGCTCCATCTCTGAATGCCTGCGGCTCCAGGCCCTGTGCCCATCACCTTCCCGCCACAGCCACACCTGCAGGAAGGGAGGCAGTGGGCCGGGTCACACCTGCAAATGTGTGCCTCCCACCTCTGGCATCCGAATGTTCTCGCAACGGCACGAGGAAGAAAACGCAATGCAAATAATGATGGAGTATATGAAAATAATACAGAGGATGCTGTCAACATCGCTCGCTGACTCGTGTCAAAATATTTTCCCCAGTCGCTTTCTAACTCATCATTTCCAAGCTACGTCGCTAATTTTAAAAGCAAGAACTGTCCCACATCGCGCCTCTTGTAAAAGAGTCAGAATTTTTCCAGCAAGGTGCGTAAGTAAACACAAATGACTTCGTGAAAAATCAACCCCACACCTCCACAAATCTCTCTATCACAACTTGTAAGCCAATGGGCGTTCCCGACACGCATCCTAAAGCCCCCATATCATATCATGAGCCGTTGTTCGTCTGACACTCCACTGTGTCTTCTGCCTTTACTGCCCCCACTCCCCCCCAAAAAAGGCAAGATTTGATTATCTCCGCTGCATCGGCCAAGACAGCAACACCAGCTGTTCGCATTGTGCAGCCTCTTCCTCGCGGCCTCCATGTTAATAACCTGATCATTCCATTTTCTCCTTCAACTGCTGGCTGCGGCACCGCGAGGAGACAAAAACCCAGGCCCATCTGCAGCAGCTGTAGGCACTGAACTGTGAAGCCACCGGGGATTTATAAACTAATCTGTAACACAACACTGCCTTGTTTTTACAAGTGAGAGGCCACATTTGCGCAGACCTGATCTTTTCTTGCAATAAACTGGAAGCTGGGGAGAGTTAGAGGGTTAGGAAGAATGAAAACAAGGCATCTAATCATTTCTTTGGAAATGTTTTTCCAAGCATTTTCATAGATTTTTTTTCAACTCAACAGAGAGATAGGTAGGTACTAATTTTCAAGGTGCAACATCTAGGAACATCGGAGACAAATGTTTATCTCTATCAGAAAATCCATATTTTTTTTAAAAAAATCTCCCAGTCCCAACGTGTTTCCTCAAGGGTTTCTTGGTACAAAGGAAAGGCTTCTTGAAATGGAAACGAAACCATCTGTGAAAAAAATAAGCTATTTCCCTGTCGTTTCACAGATCTGAATGCGTCTCCAACTGAACTCTTTCAGATCTTTCAAACAGGTATGCTTAACCTCTCCCAGGGGAAGCCACAGCCTGGAGACCGATCATTTAACAGAAAATAGAAACAAATACCTACATCTGTTAAAGGATGAAGTTCTGAGATGCCCAGACCTTCAGGGGAACGGCACCTGCCGTTCCGCCAGAGGAGTGAACTGCATTGTGGGAAGCCAGCGCTTGAAAGGGGACAGGTGACAGCTGAGTGGTACCTCCACTTAGGACCCTCGGAATGTCTCGCACCACAGTCACCGCCGAGTTTGATTTATAGGCGCTGTTGTAATCGGCGCTCATTACAATCACTTAGAACCAACTACGGGCCTCGTCACGGGCCCTGCTGTCTGCCATCAGTCTTTAAGGAGTGTGGTGCTCAATTTGCCCACTGACATGCGAGGTCCCGACCTTGAAGCTATTAGGGAGCGGATTAGACACAAGTGTGATCATGTGTGCAGACATAAGCAAACCAAATTAATTTCTGGCACAGGGCGGGAGCCAACAGGACCCCGTTCCCGGGGCACCAGAGCACTCCCCCCGCCCCCCATCCCTGGTGGAGCTGAGCTAATCGCGTGTTTAAGGGAACCCGGTTTTGAAGATGAAGCACATTCATGGTATTTAGAGGGTTATTAATCTAGTTTCCCCACCAAGTGTTTGCTTGGCTGATCAGATTAAGGGCTGGAGCCTTCCGCAGCGCGCCCCCTCCGCAGCAGGCCCCGAGAAATCTGTGATACTTCACAGCCTTGGACATATTGCACCATGTGTACCCAGCTGCTTCAATAATTAGCTTATGAATGTATCAGCTGGTTCTGCGATTTTTATAAATAATAACTAACCTACGGAGCAGAAAGATTGTCAGGAGCCTTACAGCAGCACAAAACGGCAAGGAGCTCTCGCTGTAACTGGTTCTACTGAATGCCGGGATTCCCCGCTCACGGAGCTCCCGTGGTGTCACTTATAAGTTATTTATTTTGCATCTGAAGTGGCAATGTATCCCCGTCCGTTCGCTTCACGGCAGCCATGATTTGCTTTCTCCTCACTCTCCCTATTTTATGCTCACCTTCCAGAAATCTATTCTCCCACCTCACCTCCCATCTCACCCTCCATCTTTTCATTCACGCCACCCTTCCACCAGGCCATTTGGGAAGCGTATCTCTGTTTTCTCAGTGGGATGTCTCATGAGCTTGTTTGGTGGCTAATGAATGTGTGAGAAAGTACCACGCTCTTGCCTGAGCACACATGTATGTAACTGTGAGTGAACCCATCTCAGGAGAGATAGAGTCCCCACTTTGGGATTTTTTTCATCTATATAAATTTTGCATGCCATCCAAGAAAGTTTTGCAGTATCAGGCAAAAAAAAAAAAGTGTAAATGTCAAATAAAACAGTGACAGATGACAGTATTCTCTATTGAATAGCACTGTTTCTGCCGTGCATGTTCAATGGGAACTCATGAATTATTAATAAACAAATCTCCTTTTTCTGGTAAAAATCTCAAGTAGGTTTTTTGTTGTTGTTCCCTGTGTGGTATGTGGTGCATTCCAGGAGAATGAGTTCCATTTTGGAAATGCTGATACAGACGTTCATCTGATTCTCAGCCCTGGCCAGGTCCGTGAGAGGCACCATGAACTTTTAATCTGGTTGTAAGTTTTGACCAAATGTCGGCTAAATATTCCTATAGTCAGTTGAGCTTTTTTAGTATGGTAAAACTGAGGCTAAGTGTTTGAGCACAGCTGAGAATCACAGAGAGCATTCAACTTGGATCCCAGAGACATAACTGCTAAGTTCCTGCTCCAACGTTAAGTAACTGAGTGACTTTCAGGCAAGTGGTTACCCTCTTGGAGCTTCTGGGAAATTAACTGTAAAATACGGTACATTCCATGATTTGTTACCTTGTTATTTGCCAGAAATAGCAGATAATGGTTGACTATTAGGATTAAAGGGCAAAGAAGAAATCACCTTGCCCAAGGTGATCAAGGTCAACAGCACCAGCGATGACATGTGGACACCATGAATCCTGTGATGTGATGCACCACGAAGGACACACAGGAAATCTGCGGTAGTCTAGCCCAAAATGCGTAACCTCAGTCGAATCATGACAAACCCACATTGAGAGATGGTCAACAAAGGCCAAAAAAAAAAAAAAAAGGAAAGTCTAAGGAACAGTCGCCGACTATAGAAAACTAAGGAGAAATAATAAAAAATGCTGTGTGGTTTCTTGAACAGGAAATGGACTTAGTGGAAAACTATTGAAATTAGAGTACATTTTTTAAGTTTAGTTAATTATATTAAAAATGTTGAGCCAAAGCTGGTTTGGCTCAGTGGATAGAGCATCTGATGTAACGTGTTAACATCAGAGAAAGTTAGGTGAGGGATATATGGAAACTACTCTTTTGCAACATTTCTGTGAGTCTAAAATTTGTTCAAAAAAAATTAAACATAGGGACTCCAGAGAGGGAATATAGGTTTAAAGGCTGCATCCTTGTAATCGATGGTTAAAGCATTCTCACACATTCCGTGCATATGCAAATAACATCTATTAACATCTCAGTTTAGCCATGTTGTCAGCCTCTTAACCAAATATATTCCCCTCAGTAGAAAAAAAACAAGTCTGATCCTCCTTTTCCCCTATGAAGGGGAGGCGGCACGCACACCCGTCAAAATATAGTTTATTTACAAATCCACGTGTTCCTATAAAGTTGTACATCAATCTAAATTTACAAAGCAAATTATGTTGTCAATGTATTAGCAATGCTTACTACTTGAAGACATGTGCCATTATTTCTTTTTGGAAGATGAATAATAACCCCACAGTTTGTCCTTTAGCAAAGTGGTAGTCACTGGTGAGTTACTTAAAGGAGACATCTCTCATTCACAATTCAAAAGCATTAAAAGAGGAAGCAGTAAGAACCACAACCGGCTCCTGGTTTTCCTTCATGGTCTCATCTCCCACCCATTTCTCTATTGACCTCGTGCTCCCGCTGTGAGTTCCTTTCAGTCCCCAAATCTGCTTGGTGAATCCTATCTCCATGCATGAACTGTGGGGTCTGTGCCTATGTGTGATTTCTCTTTGAGGATGGTTCTAAGTTTTAACCAAAGGT